TGCCGCCCTTTTGGTGCGGAGATCCCCGATCCCGAGGTCCGCCAAATCTATCTCCCCCCTCGCCCGGCGCATCACCTCGGCGTACGTGCCCGCTGGGCACGTCACCGACACAGCGGCCGAGCGAGGAGGTTTAGGGAGGGACGGAGGAGGCTTTGTGCCTCCCCGTTTGCCGTCCACTCTTTGACCTTCCGTGCCCCGGGCCGGCACGCGCTGTCGTCGTCTCTCGACCCCCGAGGCCGCGCGGGGCACCACCGGGGGGTCCCTTTCTGCCCCCCACTCCTCCCTTCTTTCTCCCCACCACCGTGGCCCACGTCTCCTTGGTCGGGCCATCGGTGTGGGGAGCGACCGCCCACAGGAGAGCGCCGCCAAGGTCCCGCGGCGGTTCCTCCTTGTGAGGGCCGGTAGTTTCACGGCAGGGGGGCGGTGCTCGTCCTTCCCTCACATTCCCGCCCCGTGTGGTCTTCTTCTTCTTCCCCTTCTTCCTCTTCTTGGAAGAAGAGGACGTTTTCGTCCCCCCCCCCCCTGTCAGGCTCCGGCGCCTTGGCCGTGGGGGGGTCAGGGACAGCCGTACGTCGGTTCCCCCCCGAAGGCGTCCGCGCCGGAGACTGTGCGTCCGGCCCGCGCCGCATCCGGCGGGCATATCCTAGACGCGCCAGGATTCGGGGAATCGCCACTTCCAGTAACAACTCGAGGGCAGTGCCCTCCTCCTCCCCGATATCCAGGCGCGTCCCGCCACAACCCACAAGGGGGGGGGGGCCACCGCTGTTGTTGCGGCCGTTGCCGCTGTCGTCGCCCCCCCTCCGGCTACCCCCTTTGCCGCTCTTGTTGTTGCGGCCGGGCGGCAGCTCGCCCTTCCAGCTTGGGCCGGGACTGCTGTTGGCGCAGTTCGCGTCCCGGCCCCTGTGGCTGCTGTTGCTTGCCCTTGCTTCCCCCCCACACGTCAGGGAGGGCGACGGTCTTCCCCCCGAGAGGAGGCCTGATGGCCGGAGGGACTTTACCGTCCCTCCGGTTCCTGTCGACCTCCTCCCTAAGGCGCCTCCCTCTTTCCTCCTCGTCACTGCCACGGTGAGGAGGGGCAGGTCGGGGGTTGCGGTTCCCACCATCCATCTCCACCTCCATGGGTTGGTCTCCCCCAGGGGGAAGGGAGCCAGGGAGGGGGATAATCCCGCCCCTCCTCTTGCGCCTATGAGCGACCTCCTCCTCAGAGGAGGAGCCTGATATCGCCGCTTCCGTTGACCTCTTGCGGTCGGTGGGTGCAGAACAGGAGGCGCAGCTGCCCCCCTGGTTAGGCGTGGGCACTCCAGGAAGCCCCCCAGCCTCCTCCAGCTTCGCTATTCTAGCCGTGAGGAGGCGGTTCTGCGAGCTGAGCTCGTCCAACTCCCGCCTCAACAGGGCCTCGCTCTCCCTCGCCGCGGGGCTAGGCACGGCCTCCGGCTGTCCGGCAACATTTCGGGCCCTTACGGCGAGTGTGGTTCTACAGGCCGAGAGTTCCTCGGCCGCCCTCCACAACTCGCCCAAGAGGGAGCCCTTTATGTTGCCGGACTTCTGAGCCACTTTCATCACGGTGTCCACCGACTGGTACAGTCTGGTGGACACCTCTACCGTCTCCAGGGCCCTATGGTCGCGGACCATCAACTCCGCGGTCCTTTGAGCCCTGTCTACTCTAGGCCCGTACGGCCTCCTGGTTTCATCGGCAGCGTATTCCACTACCTTGGCCAGTTTCCTTTCCTGGATGGCCTTCTTTTTTAAGGCCAACTGGTTAGCCCTGAATTTCCCCTCGTGAAAGCAGGGTCTTTGCACGGCCGACCCTGCTTTCTCACTCCCGATGTCTCGGGAGCGAGATTGGGGGCGGTCGGGTCCTCAGCCATTGAGGCAGTCCCACGGGCTGCAGTCTCCGAAGAGGCCGATGCCCCCACCTCTTCCTCCTTCGTTATTATCGGCGGCCCTTCCTCAGCCGCCGCCCACTCCAGCGAGGATGCCCGGCTGTCCGCCGAGTCGTCCCTCCCCCTCTTTAATTGTCCCGGAGACGGAACCCTCGGCAGACTCTTCCGGCCCCGCGAGCTGCCTCGCGAGGCCGATCGTGTCCTCTCCGGACTGGCAGCCGCCTGAGCCTGTTCTTCGGCTCGAATCTGGCCGCCGGACCGGGTGCGCGACCTAGTGCGGTGCGCCGGTCCGCTCACGCTAGGGAGCGGACCAGTTAGTGTGAAGCCCGACACCCATAGGGTGCCGCGCTTTGCTCCCTCAGCCGTGAAGGCTATACGCAACTTCCTACCATCTACCTCTACCGTTTCTCAACCACTGACAGGGGAAGGGCGATGGAAAAATCCAGCAGCGCCTGCGGGACGTGTTTGCAGGATGAGCGGTTTAGCCGTGACGCGCGCGCCGCCTGCCCTTGTGGCTGCAGCGCGCGCCCCACGCCCACGGGGACCACGGGGAGGCCCGCTCACTAGTGTCTCGCCCAGACACACGCTCTGACCCTTTTGGATGGGAGGGGAAGGAAAGAGGAGTGGGTATTGGTTATGGGTGATGGAAGTGGGAACCTGAAAAGAAAAAATATTTATTAATTATGTTTTCCCTGCCTCAGCGGCCCGGGTCCACGGTGATCTCGCGAAGGTTGCGAGGCCGTTTACCCATGCCCGAGGGCTCCGACATCCCCCGGGTAGGCCGCTGTGAAATCTAATATGGACCCTTTAAGAAGAGGGTTTCCCGACAGAAGGCCGCGAAGATGGAGTAGGCCTCTGGAGTCGACACGAAGTAGTGTCCCGCCTCCGGCCACCTCCAGCTCGCAGCCGGAACGACCTCCCGAAGAGCCTCCCGCTGCGGCTCGAATTCGGGACAGCGCAGAAGATGGTGGGCGGCCGTGTCGCTTCCCTCCC